TCTGCATTTTAGCTCAGCCTGATGATTTTAAATTTGTTTGGTGCTGCCTTTTTCAGGTGTTGTGGAAGATTTGCACCCTGTCCATCACTATTGTCCATCCCTGGCTTCTGTGCGTCATTTTCTGACTGTTCTTGTGCCCCCTGTCCTGTATCTGTCCCTTCTGTTTGTTTATCTACAGGACATTCCCCGTTGTAGGTCTTGACGTAATCCGCGACACGCCAGCCCTTGAACTCCGGCGGCCCTGAGCAGATCAAGCCAGTGTGATGGACACCAGGATGGTGCTTGAGCCAGTAATTTAGGTAGTGGATGTTGTAGTCGCAGAACCACGGGTTGTTGTCCAGTGAGAGCTTCCGTAGGAAGTAGAGGTCCTCTAGTACACTGTACTGGAAGTATTGGAGACTGTTGTTGGAGAGGTCAAGCTCACGGAGGTACAGCAGGCCTGCAAATGCAGCTGGGAGCAGGGAAAGTGCAAACTAAATTAGTTAGCATTCTGTTGGCATTCATGAGGTTTAAAGAGCCATTTAAGACTCAACAGAGAATAAAATGACTAAAAAGGAACAAAAATACACACAAAGAAATTGCCACAGTTTAAACTCTACCACAGTTTCTCACAGTCTTTGGCTTTTGGACCATTTTAGTTCATTGTTGACTGATTGATTATCTTTAAGAATAATCAAGTAATCAAGTCTTTTTATAACCCAGTTCCATAAAAGTTGCAAAACAACGCAATGATTTGCTTTGCAATGCTTTGCAAACCTAATAAACTTTTTTTTTCTAGCTTTTTTCTAGCTTATTAACAAACCTGGGTCTTCTAGGTCACACTTTTGGTTTCATGCTGTGCCAATTTTTTTCAGTTGGTGAAAGGCTGATTCCATTCATGACATATGAAGTTTAGCCTTTTCTTACTTAAAATATGCAAGACCTGAAAAAGATGCCATCTGAATAGGAGCATGCGCTGCTCTAAAACCTTTCAGTATTGACGGTGCTTTTCCAGATGTGCAAGCTGCCGAGGCCAGTTTCCCTGTATAGACACTGGGTTTCAGCTGGGCTTCATGACACGCAAAATCAAACATTTTGATTTAAAAGGTGACTGCCGATATTCTCAAATGTTTCCAGTCACTGTTAGCTGTCGGATTTTCTAATGTGTGCACGTGCATGCCCATGGATGCATTCTCAGTGGGAGTAATGGGACAGCAAAGACCATTACACTCTCCAGCCTTTGGCCGGGCTTTGATCTTTACAGAGCGGAAAAGGGGTGTGTGTGGGGGGGAGCAGAGAAAACTGGAGGTGGAACGTATGGAGGTAGAGAACTAAGAAGGAGGGAATTAATGACATTGGGAACTTGAAAAGACTGAAAAAGGTTTTTTTGGTTTGGTTGGGTGATTCTTTCAGGGTCTATATAAGCTTTATGAACATTCATCTCCAAGAACAACACAGACAGAGGAAACTATAGAAGAGGAAGGAAGTGTAATAAAGGGGGCAGGGATGCTCGTTTCACCTCCTCCTCCCATGTCTTATCTCTGGACTCATGAGGCTTGAGGCTCTCCCAAATTGGATACTATTCATGTGCTTGTTGGAGCCACAATGACCACATTCATGCTACTTTCCCAGGAACTGAAATACACAAATCCTTTCATCCAACTTTGCCAGAAAGTCTGAAGCATATTTCCTAAAGGCTAAACTGTTTATTAGGGACACTTACCTTTTCTTCCATGCTCTTCAAGAGATCCTAATCTAAGCATCTAAACTTAGAGTTGTGATCCAGTCACTGAAACTTCACTTGCAATAACACAGAAATAATGCCAGCTGGATAAACTGACTTAGTTAAAGACTATTACAAACTTTTATTTATTTATTTATTTATTTATTTTACCTTGGGTGGGACCCTTTCCTTTTACATTTTCTAAGATATAAAGTTATTAGTCTGAGGAAAATTAGGAAAATTAGGCTTTAAGTACACTGCATTATCCTGTGACCATCAAATTACTGCTTTGTCTATTCTGGGGGTTTTGCCTGGCCTAGAAAACCAAAACAATCTGCCAAAGCCTTCCATGAAAAAAATAACACAAATAAGAGAACACTGATGCAATGTGCCAGATTTTTTTTTATGTTGCATTTTCATTCATGTTTCTTTTCTCTCTGGCCACCCTTCCCATGAAAAGCATAAATAAACAACTTTTTCTTTTAAATTTACTCTGAATGTGGACATGATTAAAAAGAGGGTTTGGGGATTTAAACCACATGCCACTGGCAATCACAAGCTCTCACAATTATACTGAATTTCTGTTTGAGTTTCCAGAGAATGTTAGACACAGTGGGGTGAGCTACAGTAGATTGTTTGCATGTGCTGTTGCAGGATAATGAAGCTTTTTGAATTTCCCTCTTGGCCAGGAAAGGGATGGACTCGCACATAATTAGCTTGGTGAGATTAATGAACTTGCACTTTTTAATGGTACTCTAGTCCATGTCCATGTCCAATGTTACATATTTCCATAAAAAGTGCTTTTTTTCTCATGAACTATTGGGTAATTTTACATTACTTTGGGAACTGCTGAAATAAACAAGGAAAGAAGCACTTATGTGCCTCTGAAGTAAGGAAAGGATTTGGGAACTTTCTAATAAATCAGTCACAATGCAGTTAAGTAAACTACATTGCAATTTTTTGCCTCTTGAGGCCAGTTGCGAGTAGTTGTAGTGGTTGGTTGCCCAGTGGTTGAGCGTGCAACAACCATCAATGTATTGATAGCCATTATAGGTCAAGGTTGACAAGCAGCTATGTCATTTTGCAGTTAAATTGCTGTCCTGCAGCAACTATTATATGTAAATGGCAACTTGACTTAATTTAATCAGAAACTGACAGCAGACTTTTTCCGTCTTATTGCCATTTTATTGCTGCCTGACTTGCTTCAGTTGCTTTGAAGATAACAGCTAACTACGAGTGGTCCCAGACCTGGTGCCTGTCTTCAAAACAGCCATTTCAAAGGTAATGAGATTGCAAGTTCATTGCATATTCAATCATTTTTCTTGCACTACAGTTTCTAGCCACATTTTCCCCAGTGTGTAGCATGAACCTGTTCACAATTTTAAATATGTCACATCTTGATTGACTTGGATGTCCTCAAAATGAACCCCGAGCACAAGCCAGTGAGGCTTAGAGATGAGGTGATAAACAACATCTTTCTAATAAATCACAGATATCTGTTTTCCCTTTGAGTGGCACACGTGCTTCTTTCTCAGGTTCATCTCAATAAATTTTAAATAAAAATAATAATAATAATTGTGCAGTATTTCTTGAGAAAAAAAAGTGAAATATCACAATGTGTTCAAGGAGTTGAATCCTCTAGTGGGACATTATAAGACATCCTTGAATAGAGAACTGTGGGAGAATCTGTAGGCAAAGAGGAAGGTTGTCCTGCCCCTGCCCTGAAGGAGTAGCCATAATTTCTGCTTGTTATCATTACAAAAATGTAGTCAAGTATAATTATTGTTTTTCTTGGCTTATTGTAACTAAAACATGAAATTGCATGGTCTTAGTCATTAATGATGCTGTAACAAATTTGTAACAAATTGCGTCACAGGGTCTTACTCTTAGTCATTAGTACAGCAAAATGGGGATGTGTTGAAACGTTGATACATCCTGTTATCACTGTATCACTGGCAACTTTCTTGGTTACTTTTAAGATTAAGTGTAAAACTTTCATTCTTGATAAAGCATATACACTGTCTGGCCACCATAAAAAAGGTCACGGACTCTAATTTCATTGGACCGCCTTTAGCTTTGATTATGGCACGCATTCGCTGTGGCATTGTTTCGGTAAGCTTCAGCAATGTCACAAGATTTATTTCGATCCAGTGCATTAATTTTTCACCTAGAACTTGCACTGATAGTAGAGACTGACCGCTGCGCAAAGCCTTCTCCAGCACATCCCAAAGACTCTCAATGGGGTTAAGGTCTAGACTCTGTGGTGGCTAATCCATGTGTGAAAATGATGTCTCATGCTCCCAGAAACTCTCTTTCACAGTTTGAGCCTCATGAATCCTGGCATTGTCATCTTGGAACATGTCCATGCCATCAGGGAAGAAAAAACCCATTGATGGAATAACCTTGTCATTCACTATAGTCAGACCTCCTTCTTGGAGCACATACTGTTGCTGAACCTAGACCTGACCAACTGCAGCAACCCCAGATCATAGCACGTTCCCTACAGGCTTGTACAGTAGGTACTAGGCACGATGGGTACATCACTTCATCTGCCTCGCTTCGAATCCTGATGCGCCCATCACTCTGGAACAGGGTAAATCTAGACTCATCAGACCACATGACCTTCTTCCGTTGCTCCAGAGTCCAATCGTTATGCTCCCTAGTAAATTGAAGCCTTTTTTCCTGGTTTGCCAAACTGATTAGTGGTTTTCTTATGGCTACACAGCTGTTCAGTCCCAATCCCTTGAGTTCCCTTCACATTGTGCATGTTTACTATTAAACATAGCTCTGAGTTCTACTTTTTTTTTTTTCTGATGTTGGGTCCCCTGTATCGTTCCACTTTTTAATAATGCACTAGACAGTTCTTAACCCAGTTTTAGTAGTTTCTGCAATCTCCTTAGATGTTTTCTCAGCTTGATGGGTGCCAATGATTTAACCCTTCTCAAACACACTAACATCTTTTCCACGATCATGAGTTGTGTCTTTCGACGTGGTTGTTTATGAAATGAGAAAGAACTCATTGCATCAGTTGGGGTTAAATAAGTTGTTGCCAGCTGAAGGATAATCCCCCATGCAGTAATTGTCCAATAGGAGGCTTGTACCTATTTGCTTAGTTAAATCCAAGCCAGGCAGTGTAGTTAGGGCATCAGGTGACCCCGAATCCTGCAAAATCTCTTGTGAAAAGCTGCAATAGGCCTAAGCAGCTGAGGCTTCCCATGATGTACTGAACATTTCTTCTTCACTCACCACTTTTAAATCTCTTTGTTTATACACCACTCTGTATTTAATTATTTTTTATTATTAATCCCTGGCATAAAACACCTTAAAGAGATTGTTGTGATTGGCTGCTATATAGATACAGTTGAATTGAACCACCCTTAAAAATGGAATTTATCTTATCTCCGAGTTGTGCAGTTGGGTCTGTTTTCTTTACTATGACAACACAAAATGCTTGGATATCCAGATACGAATGCTCAGATTCACATGTGTGTGTGGGAGAGAGAGAATATGTGAGCGGC